TTTTCTTGATGTCATATTTGTCCTTCCCCCACTTCCAGGGCCTTAACAAGTAAATGTGTGGGAGATCAGATTGTTCGAAATGTATAGTGCTAATACATCACATTTTACAGATAATCTACGTCTTCTAATTACATTATCCAAATTCATTTTCACTGTTTGTTTAACCTCAAAATTCTTATGAGCCGCTGGTTGTTTCCCAAAAAATAAACCAATTACATATATTTATCTTACTCAATAGTATTTCGATAAGAAGACATTTAAGTAGTTAATGAGGAATAGTAGTATGTTTAAAGGTAATGTACAAATCACATGATCTAACAAAGAAAATGCCTAGTGATATACACTTGGCAAATATTGATGACAACAAAATATCTTTAAGCGAACTAATTAACTAGATTTTTCTAGGCAAAATATGTACGAATGTACTTGCGATAACTAATGGTTATGTTTATAATTGGAACAAAGATATGCAAAAATAATCCATATATCTTCAAAATGGGATTCCATTATTTTGTCCATTAACCATTGACTACTTAAAAAATACATTTTTAAGGAAAACATATTTTCCAGTTTATGTAGATGCCTTTTTTATTCTCTCCAATTAACTGACTTGTACAATCGAAGAAAGTTTCAATTTCATTTTGGTGATCGAGTTTAACGACAGTTTTGAAGATGTCAACTATAAATGTAATCATTTAGTCCTTGTTTGGTGTCTCTCAACTGTCCACATACACGTAAACATGTAGGATTGTGATGAAGACTATCGAAGGTGATGGTGACCATGTTTCTACTCAGTTGATAGTTTGTATTCAGTGGCGTAAGTACTTAAGCGCTTTTAATTAGCAAAAATGCTGTGATGGTCATATGGTATATTTTATGCTTCTCTTAGTAAATCAAAACAATTGTGATGTTAGTTCGAATGCCAAGTAACGCAAAACATAGATGTGACATACAACAGATATGATATATATGACCTGGCTTTTAACGCTGTGATGTTTGAAGCATTGGGTGCTTACTTTCGAGTCTCGGTGAAAAAAACATCAGTTAGTGGGGTGTGTGTGTGTAACCAACTGACGAGTCTTAAATATGAGGGAACGGGTATCGTGGATCCCACCAGACAGAACATCACGAATATCCAACAGTACCAAAGGGTCCGTATAGGAGACCATCTGCTTACAGAGGGCGAGCAATTCGACCCTGTATATCAACTAGAAATTACATGTGTCAGAATAAAAACTGATACCTATTACACAAGAGGTGTCTGCGTTACCTTAACGGTCTACTGGATAGCACTTTGGCGTCTGAAGTGGTGGGTACTGGGGTCGAGTCTCAGTAAGAACAATATCACTCATTGGGGTACAGGTCAGTACACGTAAGTCTCAAATAGAGTGAAGTTTAAGTCCGGGATTCCGCCGCCGGTCACCAAGAGGAATATAAGCGATATGAAGTCCATCATTTATTAATTTCAGTCCTCTGGCCTTAAAAAATTGGTCAACCATATTTCATTCCTCAACTTATCAATCTTACCGGTTAGCTACAAGCACTTTCATAGCATGTAGGCTTTAGATTTCATCATGGAAGTAGATGTGTGTTTGAATTTTCAAAGAGCCCCGTGAAAAACGCAATGCAGTCTTTCGGTACCCCTCTCCTTTCACTGGCTATTTGATTAACTTATCACTACTGAATAAAAGATACTGTTATTTAAATAAAATTTTGTGTTTGCAAGATAAGCAGTTTATGGGAGGAAATTTCACCGAGGTTTCCCCTCGAGGTTCATGGTTGATTAGGTTGACTCAAAAAGAGCGAAACGACCGTTCGGTGTTTAGATTGCCTTGCTCTGGCTAACGACCACTACCAGTCGACATGATTGGCTTACAACTACTTATGTATAGTTCGTACAAAGTATGTCTTCCCTACAAGACTACCAGTGAAAAAAGATTGTTCAATTCTTCCCTCGGAAGATGAATAATACACATTCCAAAAGGTTAATCGATATAAAGGAATATTGTGGATAAGATTGTTTAGAACACTATGTGCCTCTAAGTGTTAGGTCATAATAAAAATTTTATTTTTAAAGGGAATCCAAGGTCAATTTGATTGTTAAACGAAATGATTCAGATGAACTTGTCTGATAAACTTATTGTGTTATAACCACAACAGCAGAAAACTAACAACTTTTATAATCGAAATAAACTATGATTTATCATAATTACGTTAAATGAAACAAGACTTGTATACCACTACTAAAGTTTACACTATTCAACATAAGAAAGTTTTTACAGAAGAATGAATGGAAACACATTTTCATATATGTTTTTTAGTGTTTTCTAATTGTTTGCATAATACTTCTTACAAAGAAAATAAAAGCAGAATTATGAAGTAAAGATTTAAGATACTTCGCAAGTAACCCTGGATTTTCTTCTTGCATTTATAAGCATGTGTTTTAAGGTGTATTTAAAATAGGGTGAAAGTTTGTACCTCTATTATGATTTCAGTCAGTCTCAGTGTTGCAGTCAAACAGAAGTCATAATGTTATGACTAATCCACAATGATAACTAGTTCATCTATATGAACGGTTGAGTGAATGACAATTGAACACTGAATCATGACCTTCTAAATTTACTTAAAGGTGATGAAGATACCGCACCACCACCAACAACAAACTCCAGTCACCATCACCAATGGAAGAAACTTAAAGGAAGTAACCTCCTTCATCTATCTAGGAAGCACTGTTTCAACTACAGGCAGCACAGGCACAGACGAGGATGTCAAAGTCAGAATCGGAAAAGCAAGACAGTCGTTCATTAGTCTGAAATCAGTGTGGAGATCTTCTGCACTGCACTCAGCATGTGGAACAACATCTGGATTTTCAACACCAACGTCAAGTCAGTGCTTCTTTATGGTTCAGAGACTTGGCGCGTTTCGAAAGGGATTTCCAATAAACTACAAATGTTCATCAACAACTGCTTACGCTCGCTACTGAAGATCAGATGGATTGCCAGAAAGAATAAGCAACAAGGAGCTCTGGGAAGGAACCAACCAAGAACATATCACGCAACAAATATGCAGGAAGAAGTGGAGATGGATTGGGCATACACTGAGAAGGCCGACTGGGGACATCACGCGTCAGGCCAGGCACTCGGGTGGAATCCCCATGGGAAGCGACGAGTTGGACGTCCGAGGGTGACATGGAAGAAGTAGTGTGAGGAAGAAATGAGAGCTTCTGGGCTGTCGTGGAACCAGGTTCAAAAGATCTCAGAGAACAGAGTTCACTGGAGGCGTGCTACTGAAGCCCGATGTTCCAATAGGAACCCAAGGGACTAATAATAATAATAATAATAATAATAATAATAATAATTTATTATTGTATAAATTAAGAAACTGAGAGGTATCTGTACCGCCTTGATAGGTTTTTGTCTGGAATAAAGTTAAACTGTATGATACTTTACGAATTCATGAAAGCGTCAAGTGATTTTTTCACTTTGGATTAAAGGCAATAAACTTACTGACTAGAGTTATTCAACATTTGAGAAGTTGTTGGTAGGTGAAATGGGTACTAAGCAAACAAATATTCTTGCTTCATTTATAAATTTACATACTTTTGTGTTTTAGTCGATTTTTGATATTCATATTTCCACTATAGTACTTGAAACCACAACAACTCCGATTAGGTGAATACTGTTCAGAAAGTTAGTCACATTACTTGACTAGAGACTGCATTTTACAACATTCAATCGACAGAATGAACACTCACTTTACCAGTCAGTCTAAGTACCTAGTTTTAAAGTTTGTTAAGATTTATGCAGACAAAACGGATGTCGAGAAACTGGTAAAAACAAAGGTTAACACGCTTTTTGATACAGTTATCCTGTTCGGTTATTTTGGTGCAGATACCTATATTACTTAGACACTAGCTCTCTTATTCATCATCAAACTAAGAGTTGTTCTTTTGAAATAGATCGCATCCTAGATCATATGAAAGCAGCCTTCTCACTATCTTAAAGATGCTACGTTTGATTGAGATACTTTTTCAGTCTATATAGAATAATCACCAAATACATCTAAATCAAGCTACCATTAGAGCAAAAATAGTGTTATGTCAGGAGGTCAGTCTTTCCAGGCTTCAGGTAAACTGTGAGGTTATAAATTATCCCTTCTTTATTACTGGATACTGAGATTAACGAGGTTACATCTAATGATTGTTTTCTGTATCTTCAAAGGAACGCTGATGATCTCAAATGATTTGATATTTCTGCCAGAAACTTCTTTTCTGGTTTCGGTACTGTCAGTCAGAATTTTTATTTACCTGAAGATGTAGACTGACTAAATTTCTGATCTTCAGGTGATTTGTCTAATCTCTGATTGTTAATTATCAGAATGGTACAGTTTTTACATTTCATGTTTATTCAGCAATTTGCAGAAAACTTAACAGGTGAGTTGGTACTAACCTAATTTATTCATTGAGTCGAAATATTTTAAAAAATACTCTTGTTATTCTCAGGATACGTGGATTCTCTGTTTCAAATACCCAACTTTTACCCGATTACGAAGTAGGACTCAATTTCATTGAATATTCATTTTACCTTTGTTTAGTACTGTTTTTTATGGAGTGACAGTAAAGAGAGTTAGTCATCCACTGTATGAAATCACCTTCAACGTTGAAATGAAAGTTATCGGGGAATCAAGAGCGTGAAAAGAGAAACATATGAGAATGTTAAAGATCTTAATTAGTTGGAATCAATCAGCAGCAAGCCTTGCCTAATCTAGATTTCATCTATACTGGCATTCGTCATGTTTGGGGGAATTAATGTCTTCCGTGACACTGGGACCCATGTAACCCAGTGCTGGTGTTAAGACGTTATTACTGAGTTATTTAGTCTACGACTGACCTCCTGTAGGGCTGCAGATGTGAAAATTAAAACACCTGTGGTACATAAATACTTATTAATTCTTAGCTAATTTATTTTTCTACACCAGTATGAACAAGAACAAAAACAAACCTTGTTAAACCCGGATGCCTCATGCCCAGTGCAGTGCGTATATCTTCAGTTGTAAAAGCCGCAGCAGCCATTGCAGCCAACGTGGCTTCAGCTGTACTTGGATCAGTTTGAACAGCAACTGAACACTTGCTTTGGTTACTGACATTGTTCAGATGATTCGAATTCGAATTCACTATTGATTTCTGTACTGAATCAACATTTGGATCACGACGAGCCACCTCTACAATAATTGGTTCTTTTGCATTTTGAAAGGCTTCAATCGCTTGTTCATGGGTTGCATTTCGAAGATCTTGACCATTCACCTGATTAATGGAAAAAAGAGTAAAATTGAGTGATAGAGCTTAAACATAAAACCAATTAAAATGAATATTGTTTATTAGAAAATGTAAAAATTGAATAGGCTCAAAAACAAAGTTCACAACACAACTACAAATTTCACAATCAACCTATGTTATGACTATGTGAATAGTTTTTAAACTGATAGCTTACAACTCTCTTGGTAGGTAAGGTAATTTTCGGGAAGTATAATTCATTTAAATGGTTACGCTTGTTACTTACTCTTGGAAAACATCAACTTTTATCGCATATTTCGATAGTATTACTACTTGGTAGGTGTTCTCTTGAAAACAACTGTTAAAATTATTTTATCATAAATTAACACTAGTAAAATTTTGCAGGACAATAGTTTACCATAGTGTTTACATGTTATACCGAAAAAATTCCCTACAAGTGGTTATTGAGAACATGACCAATATAGTTGTGTTTGGGATGAATGCCTACATGACTCTAAAGTTTTCATTGTGTTATCTAAGCTTAGATTTCAGTGATGAAGTTTGTAAATGATATACTAGCCATCACGTTTACTGTCTTTTCAAAGTGAGTAAATACAATATCAGATATTTTACGATGCAAATGCAAACTTGGAGTGTAATTCCATCTTTGATGACAAGCCAAGATGCAACAGTCTAAGTTTCAAACTAAGTAGTATCGATGAATCCTCAGTTATTATATTCATTTTGGTGACCAGCAGGATGCGTGTTTCGTCCTATCAGGGACTCCTCAGCCGGACGTGCCTGCGCCCCAGTGAATGATGTTATCCCCGTTAAGACTCGAATCCAGTACCCTTGGCATTAAACACCACAGGTTCATCCACTAGGCTGCTCGAACATGAAAACCACTTCTTGATACTTGCAAGAGGTGGCTGTCACACCGTGATGGCTTAGTGTTCGCAGTGAAGGGCACTGGGTTCGAGCCTCATTAAGAAGAACATCACTTACTGTCGTGAAGGTACATCCAGCTGACGAGTCCCAAATGGGACTAAGTGCACGTCTTGTATTACATTGCTAACCACCTTCAAGCAAATTACGTCATAATGAATAACCGGGTAGTATCAAGATATCCACATACAAGCCCGCATGCTAACATAATAACAACCGAAAATTAGAAGTATCAGTAAATAACAGGTGGCTAACTTTGTCTACATTTCTCCTTAGTTCAGCCTCAAGTTGTTAACTCTGCCTAGTAAATTTTAGAAAGCCTTCGATGCATATAAACTTGATAAGAAGCCGGTGAAGAAGTGTACTGAGTAGTAAGAAACAATACGATCATAACGTATCTACGTCAACTCACTTAGAGTTCGGTTACTTAGTAGACATGAAAGTTGATTTTATGCCGTTAGGATGAAATATGATTAATGATCAAAGTTTCATTCGTGTTATCATGGAATATCAGATAAAAACGTTTTCAAACCATCCCAGATGACTGTCCTGTGCTTGCTGTATGCAAGGGCTCACTGCCATGAGTAACATTTCTACTGAAATTATTGGTAAAACGGAACAGATATCAATTCATATACTGCATTTTACAAGGTAATAGTTTGAGTATCTTTCAATCCACAACCGTGAAATATCAATCAACTCAATATTTCCAAGTACTTAGTCAATCAATTTGACGATTCTGGATCGATAACCCTAAGGTCGTTGGTCCGAACCCTAGCATGACCCAGATTTTCAGTTCGTCTTCGATCATCACTCAGTATTCTTTGACTATAGAAGCACAGTTCGACAGAAAATATTTCCATACAAAATAAGGAACAATGTACATTAACAGGTTAATCAGTGTAACTTAAAATCCGAATGTGGCTATAATGAAAATTAGTGGGTTATAAAGGCTTGAGTTGAAGCAGAAGAAATATGTAAGTTTTCTGATGCATGTGTATGTGTGTAGTAGTGGTAGTAGTAGTAATAGTAGAGTGGCTTGTCATCTACACACTTGCATCATCCAGTTGGTGACTTAATCAACTTCCTTTCTCACTGTGTTATCGGAGATAATGAATCTTGTTTTTACCTCAATGGTATTTTAAGCAGCTCACTCAATTGTCACAGTCAGGTTGTAAAGATATACATAAATATAAAAATAGATCAATGTAGTGTAAATCTATTAAAAATACATTCAGACTGTTTTATGAATTTATTCGCTAGCTACTCATTAGAAAGACTTATTATCATGCTTAGTGAGATAGCGATATATGGGTGAATATACTTTCACATATTCGTTTCTCAGTTCAATGGTTCACATTATCCTGATTCCATCAGTCTCTAATTTAGCATTGTCATTCAGTACCATTGGTGAATATTTGTCCTGGTACCCAGCTTGCATGGTTCCATAAATCATGGCTCCCAATTAAAACTTCAGAAATCTATCGTAAAGAAAGAAGGTTGACTCATTTGAAGGTAGTTTTGTTACGACTTATCATTAATTGAACTGAACTTACTCGCCAGATCTTGAGTTCTTCGACTGGATCCCTATGGAGTTATGGGTGGGCAATGCTGACGAGTCATAAACTAGACTAAAATAGTTGCTTGGCGATAAGAAGTTTTGAGTGGTCCTCCAAGTGATATTACTCAATGACAAAAACTACACTGAAGTCAGTCAGTTCCAGAAGACTCTCAGTTAGATTGTATTCGATTCCATCTGATATAGTAGCTGGCTATTTGTTACCGTGTCATTATATCCCTGTAACAATATGATATTTAGGTTGGTAATCTGAAAGGAATTTATTCAACAATGACAGGTCTGAAGTGCTATTCGGGAGCCTGCATTTAGTGACGAGAATGTGATGAGTGGTTCCTTTTAAGATTACATCACGTTGCTCAGAAGTGTGGACATTTTTAACCAAAGAGAAAGCGCTGACGAATACTTGCTAGTGACATAACACACGTACAACAGTATAAGGTAAGTTGACTGAAACTGACGCTTAGTTTCTTAAACAATTGTACAATGTTAACATGTGTCACTACAGGAAAGATGCAAGCTGAGAAAATGATAATTATTTTGAGGTGAGTGAGGATTTTAGTTTTGAGGTGGTATTCATCACACATAGATATCAGTTGGAGAACCACTGGAAACAAACCTGAGATCACTGGACAATTATTTCGTCCTTGAATGGGATTCTTCAGCAACGTGCGCCCACTACCAGGCTAGAGATCTAACTCAGAACCCATGGGTTTCATGGTGAACCTGTTAACCATCCAGGCCCTTGGTCGGGATTAAATACCTCACTGTTTCTTGCTTCTGTCAATTTGTGTAACATCGCTTGATAATCGATCAAGGTCTTCATTTGGGATCCATTTAAATTCCGACTGGTTGACTCCACTAGTCATGGCTTCTCATTAGAACCTCGAGATATCCATCTGAAAGCATGTCATTGAACTCCGGCCTAGTGGCTGAATAGTTAACGCGTCCGCCGTGAATCCGGAAGGTCCTGAGTTCGGTCTCTAGCCATTCTGATGAGAAATCCCATCCTAGGACGAAACAGCTGTCCAGTGCTCGCAGGTTTCCAGTGGTTCTCCACCTGATGTCAGTCCATGATGAATACTATCTCAAAATGATAATTCGTACATTTGTATTAACATTATGTCAATTAAGACTAAAATAATAACAGGTAATTTTTGCTCAGCTGCTGGGTATAAACAACATGAATGTATATTCTCAGTGGTTTAAAAATCACCTGACAACTTTGATATAATCTTTGAGCCAAGTTCACATCTTTCAGTATGCTTTGAAGCATGATATTTAAAGTGAATGAAGGTTGCTTATACAACAGACTAGTGGACAACATGAGTAGTTAGAAACTACACAGTCTGCTCTGAAGATGATGGTGATAACGAGCTCCGCCTCAAACGAGTGAAATGGCATTCCTATGTTTGGCCAGGCAAACCTATTGATAAGGTTAAGTATTTTCTAACTGCTCATTTTGTCGAATAGTTAATTCGTTAGCTCATGAAACTTTCTTATTAGGGGGTTACCACTTGTGTTCTCGACTGAGTGGTTTCCAAAAGAAACCCTATCAACATCACAAGTGGGGTAGTTGGAAAACTTCTCAACTATGAGAAGTGTTAAAATGGACTGTGTAATTTGCAATTAATTTTCAAATTGATCATCCCTTTAAAGGTTGGTCATTTCTGTAAGTAACCCTCTGACTGACAAATGTTCTACTCCACTAAGCGGCAGTGGGGGATAACAAGCAATAATCTCAAGCAATACCTGTTAAATAAATGGAGGTTATAGTAACCCATCAATCTAGCGGAAAACGTTTTGCTACTTGAAGTATTGAATGCTATATTCGAGTGTCACTAAGGTGAACAACATACTAGCAGCAATGTACATCCGGCTGATGAGTTCCAAACAAAGTGAAACATGCATTCTAGATTCAAATCCTAGGCACTGCTTATACATGCTATCCAAATGGAATTATTAGCTATATATCTAGACCTTACAGAACGGTCCACATATCCTCAGTGACCGATCACTTCAATTCAGAACAATCAACAACGAGAAATAACAAATCGTACAACATTTCAAAACAATACTTAGCCAACGAGCATTAAATTCAAACCCTATAGTATTCAGTATTCTAAACATTAAAATAAACACTAAATAAGGACAAGAAGGAGAATAGGAGCCATTTCATTGATATCCATCATAAAACTATATATTTTACCGGACTGTGTCAGATCGTGTCATAATACAATAATTTTCCCTCTATAATGCTCATAGGTAAGCATCATATATATGAAAGTTGAAAACCGGACTGTCAGGAACTCTATTCTTTTCCAACCCTTGTTTTTTCTCTATTCAAGTATATAAAGTGAAGTAAAGATATAAACGAGTGATATTGTAATTCGTTGTATGCCAATAAAATGGTTAGATAGAAAAAATACCAGTAGAATGATATGAAAAAAATTGGCAGTTAACATATATGATATGATGAAAGAGGCTAGTACTGATGTAGTCTGGGTAT